CCACGGGGAGGAGGCCCCACGGAAGTCCCAGGACACGCTGGAGGGACTATGTCTCTCGGCTGGCCTGGGAACGCCTCGGCATTGCCCCGGAGGAGCTGGAGGAAGTGTCTGGAGAGAGGGAAGTCTGGGCATCTTTGCTTAGACTGCTGCCCCCGCAACCCCGTTCGGGATAAGAGGAGGAAAATGGGTGGATGGATGGATGGATGGATAGAGTAAGTGGAAACACATGGCGTACTGACTTTTGTTTCAGTGATCACAGGGTTTCTAACTTTTGTGCCATATTTAGCATTTTCTTAAAACTTGGTTGAAAACAATTGGATAGAAACGTGGCTAATGACCGGGTGATGATGGCAGACCAATCCAGTGTCTTGAAAAGAAGCACATGGGTTTTTGTAATTGACAATTGCCAGTCATCAACTTTTAACTCAGGTCACTGCAGCTGAGCCTTACCTGTTCAGGTCTGCAGACAAAGCAGATGATAAACATCTCTTCAGCTGCTCTTTGTATTTATGCTCTTTGGCCTGGAGCTCCCTAGTGGCCTCGGTGGTGATCATGGCTTCTTATGTTCTCTAAGACAAAGACAAGACAGAAACCTCAGGCTGTAAATTCTTTAAGCAGCTCTAAAAGAAGAGGGTTAAATAAAATCCAATTGTATGCTGGGGACAATTTCTGAGGAAGTTAAATGATGCAGATTGTCTAAAAATCACAAAAGGCTCAAACTGTGACAAATATGCTGCTTTCCAATCTGTTAATTTCTGACACTGTCACATTATGCATCAATACAACAAACCACATATTACTCAGTTATATCCGTTACTATTTTCTAATCATATGATGCCAACTTCACCGGCCTGCCTCTGCTGTCAGCAGCGCTATGCTATGCCATGTTTCCTCATACAGACCAGTTTACATTTACCTGCTATTACAACTAAGAGAGGCATTCTTTTACCAGTTTGAAGAAAATCAATGATGCAAATGTTAGTTCCTGTTATGCAAGCAAGAAATGATTAAAATGACAATAATTACTTCAAACGCAAGCCAAAAAGGAAGAAGAGGAAATCACCAAAACAACCAGTTTCTCTCAGTTAGGAAGTTTCATTTATTGCAAGCTTTCCAAATTAAAACACAGTGAACCCCACTCTCAAAACCATACATATACGTTAACATATAAATTGACAAGCTCTGTGCTGTAGGAGAAATAATGTCAAGGCCTCATTCAGACTGAGTTTAAAAGGTTCATTTCTGTGGGTCGTTATAGCCCAGTATCGGTGAGCTGGTGGAAAGGCAGGATGAACAAATAAGTCACAGATTATGAAGAGGAAATTATCTCTGGGCAGCTGTCTCTTACAGAAATGCAGGCCAATGCAGTTTTACGCAACATGTCAGTCAATTACAAATACATGCCAATACAAAATGATAAGTCTCCCAGGTCCATTTCCTAAAGAGTAAAACAAGCATAAATCTTCTTCTCAGTCGTTAGGGGACATTGTTGGGCATCAAAGGACTGAAACACCACCAATGGGGATAAATATCTCCGACTCGGGCAGAACTGATGAAGCCTCTTGGATGAGAAGTGAACCGTCTTTGACCTAGAAACCTAGTCCAGTTGATTTTTTCTAAGTTTTTTCAGGTTACTATGACCTGGATGACTGAGAATCTGCACAGACATGCCACTAGGACAAGCTACATAAAGGCGAGATTTGTACTTTATTTGAAGTGTTTTCAAACAGTTTCAATCAGTTCTGTTCTGGAACTGATGAAGCCTCTTGGATGAGAGGTGAACCGTCTTTGACCTAGAAACCTAGTCCAGTTGAGTTTTTTCAGGTTACTATGACCTGGATGACTGAGAATCTGCACAGACATGCCACTAGGACAAGCTACATAAAGGCGAGATTTGTACTTTATTTGAAGTGTTTTCAAACAGTTTCAATCAGTTCTGTTCTGGAACTGATGAAGCCTCTTGGATGAGAGGTGAACCGTCTTTGACCTAGAAATCTAGTCCAGTTGATTTTTTCTAAGTTTATTCAGCTTGTCCTAGTGAGTTTTGTTATCTTAACCTCCCTCTGCAATTTGCTAAATCGGTCTGACCTTAATGTACATCCATATATCAGACCGTGTCACCGTTGTATTCCCAGAAACCACATTGATGAAATTACTGCTTGGCACAACAAATAGAGGAGAAAAACACTACAAACTAGGGGGCCTGGGAATCCTTCTACTGTAATGCACATTGGCAAACTACCAGGCTGGGGTAACCTTCTACTGTAATGCACGCTGGCTGACAAAAAATTAAATATAACAAAATACAAACAAAGGCTCGACTAGAAGAGTCTCAGTCGACTGACAGGTCTCTCGACCATTCGACTATTAGGGAACAGCCCTAATTGGTGCTATGGTAGAGTAGGCTACGTTAGCAGCATGGCTAAACAAAACACAATGGAAAATCTCCGGTTAGAAACGTGAATGAAGCCACTCCTGTCGACTCGTCACAACGTGCCCGTATTGTACACGCCTACAACATTTCCCGTACAACCCCTCACAGAGCAGCCCCTCGCATTAAAAGACAGCAGGGAGTTGCGTTCTTAAAGAATCGGTCTCAATGCCGCCACTCTCATTTTCCGCTTGCGGCTAGCATACTAGTGCTAGCATACTAGTGCTAGCTACCGGCCGTATTTAACCGCTTGTTCTCTTCATGAACCCTGCACGCTAAAATGTTAGTGATAAAATAACAGACCTGTACACATTAACTGCCGCTGATAATAGCATGTTAAAATGAGGTTTAGTTACAAGCATTAACGTCTGTAGACTATCTTCACTGACTAAAAGACTAACCCACTGACCGATATTGTTGACATCGCTGCTACACGCTGTTTTCCACTCACCTAGGAGACGGTTTGCAACGGCAGGAGAAGAGAACACAGCCTGAGATGTGCGGCGCATGCGCCGTGCCCAAGTGATGCGTTCAAGGGCTGATCGTAAGCTAAAGGAACGAACGTTCACTTTATCCGCTGCTGCATTGTTTCACCCATGTCTGTGCCAGGGTGGCAGTGTCATTCATGTCTGAATCTGCCTGTATGTTTATATTATGCAGCTGACATCAAACTAAACCTGTTGCATATATTTTTTGTCGTGAAGCTGGTTGTAAATTGGCTTGCTTACTTATCTGACCCAGCTATGAGAGAGTGGAGATCTTAATGGATTTCTAGGCAGAAACCCCAGATACTTACAGACACAGTCTAAGGTTTAAAAATGAAATTGAAAGGGCAATTTAAAAATCCATGTGCACACAAACAAAAATGCACAACACCTAAAAGTTACATTGAAAATAAACCAGTAAATGAAACAACCCATCATTGTCTTGTTCTTTACCATTACCTGTTCTCTTCCCCAACTGGAGCACAGCACTAAGCTTGTTTATGTAAGACAAGTATCTGACAGATGAATTAACATGTACCCTAGTTGCACATCAATGTTCCTGCTGCCATATAGAGCATCTAAAAAAGAAAAATCTAAATTTTTGTTCTGTAAGTAGATCCAATATAACTATCTTCAACTGCTGTGACACTTAGCTCCGGGCTATATTTAACAGCACATCTAGTACTATAAAATCTTGGACTGGCTGTTCTAAGACAACTCCAAACAGGGGCAAAAGGCATACAGCACAGCTTCAAACTCATCACTGTTATAATTATCTTAAAACAATGTTAAAAAGCAGTGTAGTCCAACAGATTGACACTTACTCTGTTTATTTATAAAATAAGATGGTGTAGACCTGGCTCAGTGGATTTCAAAAAGCATGTGTGTAGGAAGAGATACAAAATAGTACAACAGTCAACCATCACTGACATTTCTATACAGAAAGATCAAAATAACAACATTGTCTACATTTGAGCAAGTATCTCTGAGGAAAAATACCAAAAAGAAAGGTCCTTTAAACAACACTACCTGATAAAGGGAGTGGGAGACTTATGGCTCCCAGAGGACTGTGCCCAGAGTAGAGCGGAGCGACCCAGTGAGACACACAAGGATAGCAGACGACACCACACCCCAGTCTCTCAGGTCATCTTAACACTGCGACAACTCGGAAGTTATAAAGGCACCACACAATACAAGTTACAAGGAGATTTTGCCACACGTTTGTAATGCTGTAACTGACAAACTTTAAGGCGGATGTCATGTGCAAAAAACATCTTGAATATGTGTTACACGTACAGCTCAGTGTCCTCTCCAGTGCAGTGTGCTTTGATTCTTTCCTTTGCTGATGACTTCTTTAAAAAAATAACTGAAATGTGAAAGATTTAAAGAATGATTGCATTTTTACTATGTCACTTGGTATCACAGGCATATTCCAGGCTTCCAGGTGTGACAAGTGAAAAGGGGAAGAGTGCTGTAGGAAAAAAATTTAGTTCCTGTAGCTTTTACGTCCTTCTCCCTCCTTGAGGAAGGTCCATATGAGGGTGTTGACAATATCAGGCTGGTCCTGCTGCAGCCAGTGGCTGGCCCCAGAAATGATATTGAGACGGAAATGATTCCTGATGTAGAGGCGGCAAGACTCGGCCATTTCCTGCTCCAAGAAGGCGTCACGCTCGCCCCACAGCAGCAGCACCGGAGACCTGACGTGATTCTGGCTCAGGGGGAGGGAGCTAGAAAGAAAGGAGAAAAGAACCTGAACTCATCCAAAAGCTCACATCTTGAATCGGATTCCAGTATGGTCTGTACAGAATGAATGTAAGAATGTTTTCATCGAATTGTTCAACATGCTTGATGCAAATTTTTGACATTTTGTTAAGTTGTCAAGATGAATCAGCATGTTTCAATCAGATACCTTTATGTTATATTATAGAGGTTGTGACAAGATTACCAATGAGAACCAGTAACTTTTTAGGAACATGATATTTACTGCTTCCCACCTAAGATGTTAGGTTCCACCTCATGTGTTTTTTTTCTTGTTTTCTTAATTATGTGCGAATCTGTCAGATCAGGGGCATTACAGCAACATATGCTGTCAAACCCTTGGCTCTACTAATGTTTTATTAGTGTGTCTTTTTGTGGACTGGAGTGGCAGCACCACATTTATGTTTTATGTACAGTGGTAGAAGCAGGCTGACATTAAAGGTCCATTTGCAAAACCAGTTTCTGTCAGCCTTTATTGCATCATCTCTTCAAGATGCCAACTCTTCCACATCAGACACCGAGGGATTTTTGTGCAAAAATCAGGTGGGCACAAACTGTGTCATAAGTACCACTGAATCACACCCAATCTTGACTTCAGATTTCCTACTTAATGGATATTTTACATTAGACACTTCATTTTGCTTTATGTCTGAACCAATGTGTGCTGGGACGAGCTCCAGCCCCCCACCACTCTGGACGGGATCAGCAGTATGTAACATATAATATTAATGCGCATTTGTTTTTGTGTCCTTGGTGCTTAGGTACAGTATGCACTTGAGGAGAGACGAATTGGGCTTGGGTCTGTGATATTTCTCTTACGTAAGCATATAAAAGCTACTCTGAGAGAACTCATTGCTTGAGAAGAAAGCAGATGGCATGGCCAGCCATGCATGTACAGTTCTCATGTCTAAAATGAATGCACTGAGATTTTCTTTGATTTGATATGTGTTGATCATCTTTGGTCACCAAGTCAATCTAACATGTAACAACAAAGGTATACTGTATGTAAATATAAATACTGGGCAGTGCAGTTGCTCTGGCAGAGGGACGTTTTGTTTTCTGCTCATTCAGAGCTCTGGCAGTAGATGGCACTGCCAAATTTACATTAAATAGCAACATTACATATCCCTATATGCACAGTACTCAGTAAAAAATAGAAATAAAGTGACTTTGTCGTCACATATACAATAACCAGCCAAGACTGAACACTAGTGGTGGTTAAAGAGCATCTATAAGTACAGCATTAACAGTGAAATCGTCCAATAGCTACTGTGTAATGTTTCATAGCTGACTGTAAATTTGACTAGCATTACTAAACAAAACTCACCTAAACTGCTATAAAGATTGAATTGAACTGCTGAGCTGTAAAAATTTGCTGACATAACTTTGACAGAATCTGCCTTTAGTGAGACAACTACTCCCCACCTGAAGACATTCCTGTAGTAGTTGAGGGCTCCTGTCAGGGCTCCCGGCTGTGACAGTGCATACAAATAGGCCTCCAAGTCCTCTGCACTGAGCCATCGGCCTTTCCTCCCGATCCCTGTGCTGCGGCTGGTGAACAAGGCCTTCAGTGCCTACAGCAGAAACAGTACCAAACACTGGGCTCAGTTTATGTGGCTACTACAATCTGAACTTGACAACCTTTATTATTTATGATCATGTCACTGTAATATGAGGCAGAAAAGGTCAATTAAATTCAATTAAAGAAATTTACTTAACATATTGGAAAAATGCTTATTTGCTCTCATATGAAAATAGGAAGCACAACCAGCAGCCAGATTGCTTAGCAAAAAACAGGCATTTGTGGTTTTACGAGGGTGTGTGTATGCTGATTAAACAAATCAGATATTACTTGCTAATTTGTGAGCTTTTGGTAGGAAGTTTTTGTTGCTTTCTGACAGAGCCAGGCCAGCTGCTGTCCCCTGTTTCTGTGCTGTAACGTTACACTGATCAGCCACAGTGTTAAAACTACTGACATGTGATGTGAATAACACTGATTATCTCATTACAATGGCACCTGTCAAGAGATGGGATATATTAAGCAGCAAATGAACAGCCAGTTCTTGAAGTTGATGTGTTGGAAACACAACAAATGGACAAATGTAGAGATCTGAGTGACTTTGACAAAGGCCAAATTGTGATAGCTAGACAACTCCATCAAAGCATCTCCAAAACGGCGGTTCTTGTTGGGTGTTCCCGGTCTGCAGTAGTTAGTACCTACTAAATGGCCTAAGGAAGGACAAAGAATAAACTGGTTACAGGGTCATGAAAGAGCAGTTCTCAGTGATGTGCATGGGGTGTGAAGGCCAGCCCATGTTCCAGTCCCACAGAAGAGCTACTGTACAGAGTACATGGCAGTTTGCTATGTATGGGGCTGCATAGGCAAAGACTGGTCAGTGGCCATGCTGACTCCTGTCCACTGCCAAAAACCTCTACAGTGTGCACATGAGTATCAGATCGGGGCCATGGAGCAATGGAGGCTCATTACAATGGCACCTGTCAAGAGATGGGATATATTAAGCAGCAAATGAACAGCCAGTTCTTGAAGTTGATGTGTTGGAAACACAACAAATGGACAAATGTAGTCTTTTACATCATGTGGATGGCCAGGTGGTTGTGTGCCTTAGATCTGAGTGACTTTGACAAAGGCCAAATTGTGATAGCTAGACAACTCCATCAAAGCATCTCCAAAACGGCGGTTCTTGTTGGGTGTTCCCGGTCTGCAGTAGTTAGTACCTACTAAATGGCCTAAGGAAGGACAAAGAATAAACTGGTTACAGGGTCATGAAAGAGCAGTTCTCAGTGATGTGCATGGGGTGTGAAGGCCAGCCCATGTTCCAGTCCCACAGAAGAGCTACTGTACAGAGTACATGGCAGTTTGCTATGTATGGGGCTGCATAGGCAAAGACTGGTCAGTGGCCATGCTGACTCCTGTCCACTGCCAAAAACCTCTACAGTGTGCACATGAGTATCAGATCGGGGCCATGGAGCAATGGAGGAAGGTGGCCTGGTTTGATGAATCACATTTTCTTTTACATCATGTGGATGGCCAGGTGGTTGTGTGCCTTATACCTGGGGAAGAGATGGCACCAGGATGCACTATGGGAAGAAGGCAAGCTGACAGAGGCAGTGTGCTGCTGTGGGTGTTCCCGGTCTGCAGTAGTTAGTACCTACTAAATGGCCTAAGGAAGGACAAAGAATAAACTGGTTACAGGGTCATGAAAGAGCAGTTCTCAGTGATGTGCATGGGGTGTGAAGGCCAGCCCATGTTCCAGTCCCACAGAAGAGCTACTGTACAAAGTACATGGCAGCTTGCTTGGTTTGAGGAGCACAGCAATGCATTCAAGGTGTTGACCTGGCCTCCAGATTCTCCCAGTCTCAGTCCAATCAAGCATCTGAGGGATGGACAAACAAGTCCAACCCATGGGGGCCCCACTTTGCAACTTACACGACTTTAAGGATCCACAGCTGATGTCTTGGTGGCAGATACCAGAGGACACCTCAGAGGTTTGTGGAGTGATGCCTCGATGGGTCAGAGCTACTTTGGAGGCAAAAAAGGGACCTACATGGTATCTACACAGTATGCGGCAGGTGGTTTTAATGTTGTGGCTGATCAGTGTGTATTTACTGCAGAGAGAGGCATTGATTTTTCCATTTAACTCTTGGCAAGAAAGCAAATAAGCACAATGTCCAAAATGTCAAACTATTCCTTGCTGATGCTAACAACACCTAAATCTAAAATCTGATTTTGTTACTCTGAATTCTTCACTTTTGACACATTGTACATTATATTAATGAATTTGAATGGCACACTGAACAGCTATAGGGATGGGGAGATCAAAAGTTACAATATCTAATCTTTGAAAAAGAAAATCTTGAAGACCTAGAAATGATTTTACAAGAATAAAACAGTTCCCACTTCTTATAGGATTACAGTTGCTCACTTTGTTTACTACAAATATCCTCTTTCGTAGCAGGCTATTTTTAGAGTCCTGGTGCAGACACTAAAAATAGAATTTTTCCATTTAACTCTTGGCTGCATGACACTGTGTTAACATTCAATGCATACCACTGTGCACGCATATACTACATAAACATGCATGCACCCACGACAACACACACACAACTTCAACCTTGAAAGCCCAGACATAACAGAGCACCTTGAAATCGTTGATCGACAGCATGAGCTCTGGGAAGCGGGGCAGCTGGAAGAAAAATAAATGACTGGACTTCAGCAGCTGGCTTGGGTGACAGAGGGCATAATCTGAAGGAGGGAGAGGACAGGGAAGTTCAGCTGTTGGATAGTAATTAAAGGCAGAGCTTGCCTGTGCTGCAAGGTCATGGACACAGACACTCTCCGTGACTTTGCTTCTCTGTCTGCACCAGTTAAACCAGCTGTTCCAGCTTCACATTAGCCTCTAGTAATTACTTTCTCATCATCTTCTTCTTAAGGCAGAAGCAGATTTGCCAGATGGAAGCAAACATGGAACTGAAGAAATAATGCTTCCTAATTAATGAGAATAATTACAGTAATAATCCAATATCCAAACCAGAGCTAATTAGCATGAAAAAACAGGCTTTCTTTCACAATATAAAGAGTGGTGTGTGAGGATCTGTCTGTTTAAAATGTTACCTGAGAACACAGAAGGATGGGGACAGTTCAGCACAATGAGTTTGTTCACCATCTCTGGGTAGTGAATGGCAAACAGCCACGCTATGGTCCCACCCCAGTCATGGCCCACTAGATAACATCTGTTGTATCCTTGGAAGAAAAGCAAACGCACATAAGGTTTGTCACTGTAAAAAGAAGAGCATTCTGATGATTGTGATAGAGGCTGGGTGTTCTTGCTGATGCTAAGCTGTTTACGAACAGGTATGTCAGTTCTTATAATAATTTTTGCTGCCTTCCTTACTCAGAAGACATTTAAACCCCTGAAACAGATGTATTTCATGACATACAGACAAATGCAGATCAAGGTCAGGGCATTGGACTGAGGGATTCTGATTATACTACTGTTCCTTCCAATTCACCTCTTTACCTGTGCTAGTACCATCTGCACGTACTGGTATGTTTTATCCCAGCAAGCCTCATTTCATCATATAGCTAAGTCTGGGAGCCAGTTATGGAAAATGACAGAGGAGCATTCTGCTGTCGGTCTTTCAGTATTTGCTGTGAGCACCTACATCTATCACCAAAATGAGAAAAATAGAATGTTAATTGTGATGCATAGCAAAAGGTCAAACCTCTGATTGGTCGAGCATCATCAGCTGACATGTCAGTGTGGGCTATGCAGGCTCCAACAGGCGGTGTAAAAGGTCTTTGTAGCCCAGTCACAGATTAGAGCACAGCAGTTATGACTTGACCAATATATAAGCCTCACATGTCCCCTGAAGTGACCATTAAGTGAATTGTTTGCACAGAGCAATGTATTACTGAGAGCATTAATTAAATGTATTTGCCTCATGAAGAATGTGCTGGTCAAAATATTGCAAAAATATACTTTTGGGGAGTTTTCTTATTTCACTGTTCAGACAATCTTCCTTTTGTTTTCTAAATAAGTCAGTAAAATGTGTATGATATCATTTGAAGCCACAGAAAATTGTTACCCAATTCTGCAGCTCCTTTTAGTTCTAAGGAGTATTTTAGCATCTTTTACCTCATTGTTTTGTTGTGACAGCAGTTCAGCCACTGCTATGGCTGAGCCTCTGTTTCCAGTAGCAGCAGGCAGATGTTTTTGTGAAACACCAAACAGCTGACAAAGTGAGTGACTAGCTGACAAACAGATATTTCCCTCAGGAGACCAAAACAGGACTAATAAAACTCCATATTACAGGCAATGTGTCATGATTCTTTTCTGCCTGTTTCCGTTCTCGTGCTTTTAGTTTGACATTACTTCCTGTTTTTGTTTCACCACAGTTTCGGACTTTTTACTTTAATCGGAACTCATTTTTCTCACCTGCTCCTGATTGTTTGCACCTGTTTTCACTGCATTATAAGCAGCCTTAAACAAACAGTTATTCATCGTTTTGTTGTTCCGTGCTCTTATTAAACAAACAGTTATTCACTTATCCTCGTCTGGCAATATAATTGAGTTCACCCTAGATAGTATCGGAAGCTTCACGCACCGTTCGTGACACAATGTCATTTCACGCTCACTTGCTGACATGTTCACAACAAGTTTATAAGAATTTTTTGCATTGCTGCTTTAAAAGTGCTGATGCTCGAAGATGGTCCTGGACTGAGATGTTGCTGTTTAGAGATAATTCCAGTTTGTTGGCACCTGGGTGCATCCTTTTTGTTATAATTTTGAACTCACTAAAATAATTGCTGGAAGCATCACTACAACAAATTTCAATAGGGCAAGCGACATGAGTAGTCACATACCGTAAACAGGCAACAGTTTAGCCAGATGATCTAAAGCACTTTATTTAGAGATTTAACTGAATGTGAGTGAACCAGAACTGTCAATAGCAACTGCTTGTCTTCCACGTATCTATGCTGCCAGATCTACATCTACAGTATAGTGTTATTAATGGCTGGAACAATGAAATTAACACCAAACAAATAACCAGTGTGTTACCACAAAACACTGGAGTTCTTTCAGTTTTCATATAATTAGCACTACAACAGTAGTTTTAACACATATGTGGTGACAGGCGTGAAGGTGAAGACAAAAACACCCTCCACTGTGCTCAGAGTGATTGGAGAATCTTCACTTCCACACATTTCAGTGCTTTTCTTACACAGTATACTGTATGTAACCAGTGATAATGCAGTGTAAAAAAACTGATATTTAGGCCAGTACAAGAGCAAAAATTGTCATTCTGGCCAGGTAATCATTAGTGGATGGTGGTATGTGCAGGCAGCCTCAGGGTTAGCTTCCTGCTAGAGTTAGTATGCAGGCAGCAGGCTGTGTGCTCTCTATCTCTACAATGTTCACTAAGAATGACTCACAGGAAGTTTGTCATGCCATGCTGCAGGCCTGAGGGCTGTCTGCAGCTTAAGACCAATAAACAAGTTCATTTTTGACTCCAGACACTGTCAAAACAGTGTCCAGGGTGATTTTAGATTACAGACACGCAGATCTCTAGATTTCCCCACCTAAATACTCCACGATATCCTTGATGTCAGTCACCAGGTACTCAAAGCGGTAACTTTCAGTGGAGAGTGGCAAGTCGGATTCCCCGTAGCCCCGCATGTCAATGGCCACCACACGGAAATCACTCTTAAACTCACGCAGCTGGTAGCGCCAGGAGAACCTGAAGCACACAAACACATGCAAAGACAACTTATTTCTTTCAATTGCTGTAGGTCGACTTCCCTGTCAAAATGTCTGGCTTCTCCAAGCCTAAAACCTTCAGACCCACATATCACACACAGCTGTGTTCACAGGCTGAGCGGTACTCTGCATAGGAAGGCAACTGAACCTGAGGTGTAAAATCAGAAGAATGGCCCTTTACACTGCACAAATGTGAGCTAGCTACAAACTAAGTTCCCAAACTTTTTTAAAGCTATCAATCAGAGTTCGTTCTGGTTCAATGAAGGTCACTTCAGTGTAACAGAAGCCGTTTTAGATTCTTATCTGCCTGCTGATCATGTGGACTGGGGTGATTCCCTAATTAAAGATCTTGTCTGTGGAAGAGGCTCCTGATCAGCCCTGAAAGCCCTCTCCTTCCCTGCCGCCTGTAGGAGGGGAAGCAGGATGCAGAGCCCTGACTGCGATTCTGATGAGTCAGGATAAGATCAAGGCACTCAACCCTTAGATCTTAGAATATAGATGAGATTTACAGTAGAGTATATTCCCCTAGGACCCCTTCACCCTCCCACTGATACACATATACACTCTCATCTAAGAGGGAATTAGCACATATTAATAAAGTGTTACGAGTTCAGTCTTTCCATCACACTCGCAGCACAGTTCATCATTCCTGTGAAGAATATATTAGGTTAGGCAGAAAGAGCTCCCCTCCACTGTTAATTAATCCTCTTCTTGTCTGCAGCTTATATAGTATGTTTGAGATATGGACCGGCTTATAGCGCTTGACAACCTCATTGGCCCCAATCCAGGAACAACGCTAAACACCATTTTTCATTTCATATCGAGGGGCTAAGAGATCTTGAATGCTTTGGACCCTTTTCCCCTGATGATTAATCACATCTGTGAATGAGAACACATTGCTGGTGTGGATTTGTTGTTGCAGCCCAGAAACCAGGCTGTGGAGATTTAACAGTAGGGCTGAAGCAAGGAATCCTCATAGTCAGGGGGAGTTTTAGAGGTAACCGATGTAACAACACCTAGCAAGTGAACAAAACAGTCTTAAACCCCCCCCTCCATCCATTTCCCATTGACCTACCAGAACTCAGGGAAGCCATGTAAAAACAGCATGAGCGGCTTTCCTCTTTCTCCAGCAGCAACATAGTGAAACCTCAGGCCAGACTCCTGGGGGAGGGGACAGGTGTTTACACTGACAGTCTCATCCAAAGCCACTTAGTGGACACAATAAAACAAGCATTTTTAAATGACTGAGTGTAGCTGCATGGAAAATAAGTGGACAAAATGTAATTATCAGGAAAATAAGACATACATATGTAGCTTATTTACATTGTAATGGCAGGTGTGGTGGACCTCTCTTGTGAATCTGCTCTAAAAACCAGAAATATCTGCAGTCACATAAAAACACCTGTTTAGCTTGAAATGAATTGATCCAATCCAGAGTCTTTAATATGTGAATATGTTTCATTTCAAACATTTTACTGCTGTACCAAATGTCTTCTAGTGTAGTGAAAAGTCCACTCCCAGTCTATGAATGTAACCTGTGCAGGCTGCATACCGGACCAGCAGTGGCTCCCAAACTGTCACAAAATCATGCTTTTACAGATGCCTTTTAAACTGAGAGTTAAGTTGGGCACAAGACACTTTTCTCCTTCAGCAGATGAAGGTAAAGAAAGGTTTGAAAAGCAAACACTATAGTTTAGAGCTTTTCTAGGGAAGAAACCTCTACTTTCTGTATTAATGATGTGGATTTCTGTATTTATTTACAGGAGACTCATTTTTTACTTTTTAGACTTTTCCCTCTTTTTCTCCCTCAGCAAATGAAATTGTGGTCCATAGCAGTGCATGCTGATTTATGAGCCCATGCTCTGTATGCACAGTTTATGTACAACACAAAAACATGGTTCATTAAAAAACCAGGCAATGGTAGAAAGTAACTAAGTACATTTACTCAAGTACTGCACTTAACTACAGCTTTGAGGTACTTGTACATTGAGTATTTTATTTTCTGTGCCTTTGTACTTAATCTTCGCTACATTTCAGAAGGAAAGTACTGCTCCTACAGCACATTACGTGATAGCCATAGTTAGTATGGTTACAGATTAAGATTTTACATAGGACTCGTTTGTTAAGTCTGATTCATTGTTATCAATTAAACTGCTGGACTGAGTATAAAGTAAGCAGAATTAGCTTTCCTTGGACCAGCTACAACATTAAAATACTTGTTACATGTCCATGCATCAATAGTCAAAATCCAATTCTGGAATATATAAGAATATAACAAAGACAGGGACCATTCTGATGCATAATGACTACTTTTCAGAGCCTACTTTCATGGTTTTCTTTAAGTAAACCTGGAGCCTATTGCAGTATACAGACCTGTAATCTTGGTACTTTTGCTTACAGGTAAGTAAAGAATGTGGCTCCTTGACAGTGGATGAATTCATACTTGACAATGGGATCTGTGGGTTGGGTTCCGTGTGCCTTTGTACAATGGTCCCGCACGAGGCGGAGGCGCTGTTCTTTCAGCACCACCTGAGCGCAGCGCCAGCCACAGTGACTCCACCGAAAACGTCTCCAAAAACAAACAAAGATCCGGCCTGTTTGGCTTCTCACGACGCGACACAACACAAAGGTGTTGTAGCATTTCACAGCTGAGCATCCTAGCATGCGAGAAAGACCCCCACACACTCACAATGGGCTTTTCCCTTACAGGGAGCAGGCACCTTTCAAGTGCACGGCGGCCTGTCTTACCTTGATCCTAACATAACAGTGGGTTCCCAAGGACGTGTCATTCAGACAAGCCGGAGGGGTTTCACGAATCACCCACTGCAAGGTTGCTGTCGGCCTTAGGATGAGGTTCCAGCAAAGTTTCAGCAGGGCTACGATGGTGCAAAGAGCACAGTAACCGTATATCAATGTCCAATACCCCGCCACTCTGATTTGCAGCGTAAGTCTGATTAGAAATAATAGTAAGTTGTGAAGCACTCTCGCCATCTTTACATTGCCGCAGGAAACCAATCCAGCTCACGTTACCTAGTGCTTTCTGTCTGTTAACTGCTCGTTTCTGTTTAGATACTGCTCTGACAGCCGTTGTTTTGTTACCAGCGCATACGCACGGCTGTCTGAAGGGAGGATCCCAACACACGGCGGAATGGGACGGTGGCAGCAGCATCACGTCAGATTTCACGCTTGCGTGTGACACCAGTGGTTGTTTAGCAGGATACGGTGTTGTTGACTATACAAGGCAAGTCCGAAATCACGCACGCAGAGCTTTACAGGGGTTTCAGCACAGCTAAGAGGCGCTGTTAGGCACACTTAGACCCCGCAAATCACCGCAAAACTCCGGGACCTCATCCCGTTGTTATGGCAACAGCACCGGAGGCTGCTTAAAAGGCAGCGTGTTCACGATTTCATTGTTAATCTCTGAAAGAATGAGAGTTTTATTAAATTATCTCACCAAAGTTAAATGGCTGTTTAGGGACTTAAAAGCAAGTAATGGGGACTGATAATAATCACAGGTGTGTGTTGTCAGGCTGTCCACGTTGTTCTGTTAGAAAACACAACAGAGCCAAGATAACACAGCCTAACAGACCAGCTACTGGAAGTAACCTCAGATGAGTCTGATCCCTCACAGGAATGGAGATGTACAAGACCTCTTCATGGGAAGCTGAAAAGTGTTAACTTGGGATAAATGCCTAAACTGAGTTCATTAGGCATAGTCTACCTTTTGTGTGTTTCTAAAATAAAAAACTCCCGCGTCTCTATAGCTTTCATTGTCTTATATTTTTTCATTGTCTTTGTTTTTCTTTTCTTCTTCTTAAAAACACTTCTTTCCTGTTGGCACACATTTATTTAACTTTCCCCATATGGTTAAGTCTAGTGGCAGAGTTAAAGCTGTATATTTATTTTTTCCCATTTTAATTTAACTGCATTTTTAATTGAGGTATCTAGTCATTGTGGACTATTACAAAATAAAATAAATGTAATAAAGAACCGTCTTCAGACTGGGATTACATGAAGATAGAACAACTATGCAGTTATCCAAGATATGGAAGTACTTGGAAAACTGCACAAATGTAGAATAAGGCAAAGAGTGGCCACACCAACTATCGATTTTATATTTTTCTCTATGTTGTCTTAATTTATATCTAGTCACTGCATTATGCTTCCAAGCTTCACTTAACAGCATATTTTCCATAAGTCCCTATAAAACCTTTGCACAGTAGCTGCAGGATGAAACTAATTCAGATGCACCTCATAAAAGCTTTGCTCCAGTCAGGAGACTCCATGGCAGACATTTTTTAAAACAACTTGTATTAAAGTGCTTAAATCAGGCAAGAAAGATAAGGTGGGATTAGAAGAACAGGGACTTGAGCCGAATCCCTGGGAGTCAGCTGCGGGAGTGTGCGCCAAACATTGCCGGCAAGGACACGGTAAGGCAGCAGACAAATGATTCTATGGGCCTATAAAATAGGTCATACGTTACACTGAGCCCATTAGCCCAGAGGATATTGCTGTAGTGTGTAGAACTTGAAGGAGGAAAGTGCACAGCTACTGGATGAGGCTCTGGCTCCAGTGAGTGTTATGCAAGTGCCTGCCTGGATAAAATGTGTAGTCCTTATTTTCACTACAAGTGATTTGCAGAGCTGGCTGGACAGAGCTACAACATGACCATGGAGTTCCTGGATGGGGAGTGGGGAAATGCTGTATCACATGGGTCTGTACTACACTGCAATTAGAACTCAATAAAAGGATGACAGAATGCAAATGGTTTTATTTTGAGTAAAAAAAAAAAAGTTTTCTTTTCACATATACAACCTGTAACATACAGAATATGCTGATAATGACCAAAAACACCGGAACACAGCCAGAACTGTATGAACAAAGTGCAGTGCATATATTCTAAACACAGTATAACCTTTTCACGTAGTGAAAAATTAGGGATATTCAGTTTCTCTTAAATTCACATTGGAAACCCTAATGAGAACTATCATCAACCTCTGCCCAAACTATACCTCTCTCTCTTTTGTGCAAACATGTTTTGTAAAGAAAAGTCAGTGTGCATGTAACTTGCATATATAACCAGTGTTCTGTCTGCATTCAATATAGTTTTAGGGAGAATAAAGTGGTCGGGGTTCAGTGACTGGGATTCCTTAAACACAAGAACAAACACTGCACATTTCAGCAAACAAGACTGTGGCATTTACCTACAGTGTATGGATGCTTTAATTAGCTTGTCACACATGAGTGGCAGTTGTAGAAATACTCATCCAGGTGTCAGAATAACAGAAAAACAAGGAGGAAAGTTCAGACTGAAGCTTGAATTCTGAAAGTGCTGCACCCCAATCATCTCACAATCAGGAGTGCATCAGTGCAAACATTTGCCAACCATGCAAACAGAATTTAAGAACAAAACATTTATCCGTTGTTCTTGTTTCCACAATTAGTTTGATATTTTTGGTCTCTAGAATGTACATAAAGCTTAAGCTGTCATGTTTCATCTCTAGAAGAACCAACAGTTCAGGTTACTGTGAGACACCGTTTAGAAGTCTTAAAATAAAAAGGACACATTTTCAAGTAAATCACAATAGATTTTTAGTCCAGGTTCAGCTCAAAGGTAGTCATGATGTCCTGCTGCATGGTCATGTCAATACCAGACATCTATATAGAGAGAAAGAAACAACAAACAGAATTGTTAAAACCGCTTTAAAGAATGATCACACTAAGACATGAACAAAAAGGTACTCACAGCCTCGCGCCTGCGACGTTCTTGTTCCTTCTTACGGGCTATCTCTCTTTCCTTGTCCACTGAGAACTGTGTGGTTAGAGGCTGCGGCTTTTGCTGCTCAACATTTCTGGGAGCATCTGAGGTAACCTCGGTGCAAATGTGCTCTGGTGAATCAGGATCCTCTTTGACAGGTTGTGGATTTGGTTCAGCTTTATACAAGCCTGGTAGGCTAGAAGGAGAATGTCCTTGTTACTTCAAAGTTGTTCTCTTTCAATCAAGTATGAAGCTGCTGGGGAGTAATACTAGTTTGACTAGGTCAAAGGCTATGTTCAATGCCTGATGCAGTGGCCCAAATCAGAACGTTTTCTCTCCCACTGCCTCAGATATGAGCTTTTCATCGATGTCTGAACAAATATAAATTGAATTTTCTTTTCTCAATTCATATCTGAACCACTTCCATATGTGGTTCTACATCCCATTCGTATCCAATCTCCGACCCCGCCACTGCTGTCAGAATGATCAGAGCAGAATTCAAGTTTTTTTGTTTCTCTCCTTAACATCTCCCTCTCGTGCGCATGTTGCCTAGCGTCATCATTCAGGGACGAGAAGAAGAGAGCAACAACTGTGCCAGGGTTCAGTGGAGAGATGAGGGAACACATTGTAACCAAGCACTCTGAGGAAATTATGATTCAACTGTCGTACAAATGGTGCTGTTGTTTTTGTTTCACATTTCAGTTAAATCTGTGTGGCAGTTTAGGACCTCACCAGTGTTCAGGCCATAACTAGATACACACCTCTTATAAACACCAAAATAAAAGGTCTTAGGCCTGAAACATACTTCATACAAGTACACACATGCTTTGACCTACATGACATCAATTTCACATGTAATCTCGTGCATGCCACCTGAAAATCTTAACATGGTGCAAGTGTAAGTCACAGTCTGAGTATTGCTGCCAAGGGGCACTGTAGCCTGAACCAAGAGAAAGCCGACTGCTTCCGTTTGGGTTAGCTTCTGCACAACCTGAACCAAGAGAAAGCCGACTGCTTCTGTTTGGGTTAGCTTCTGCACAAAACAACAGTGGCTGAGCAGTTCAAGAAAGCTCCAGCTGAACATGTCTGTGGGTAGGGACATACAATACTTAGTCATGTCTTCATCCAGACTGGAATGCAGTTGGAAACACCAACTTCTTTCAACTGTGTACAACACAGCTGCTCTGAGTACATCCCAAGCCTGTTATAAGTACCTTGACTTCTCTCACTTGCATCTTTTCTTTGTGTGTTAATTCTGCCCACATAAGATGCAGGAAAGGTGCTGAGGAAACACAAACCTACTGACGAGGTGTCATTTCCTCCGGTCCCTCACCTGATACGTCCAATCACCTACTAATTTCGATAGTCTTGGACCAATCCTGTAAGATACTGTGGTCATGCAAACATTGAGCTTGAACTTTCACATATCACCCCCTTGTGGACTGAGCTCGATCACCTCCACCAGTCCTTTAAAACATGTTGACTGTGGGAATGTCTCATGAGTCTTATAAGGACCATTGTTTCCCTCACTTCGGAGTCTTTTCCTTTTTGTGTGTGGGGACAAGGAAAAGATGCGAGGAAAACACGTGATGAGGACTCAAGGAAACACGTTAACATGAGACATCCTTTCCTCAGATCCTTCATCTGAAGCGTCTAACCACCAACCAATTTCTGTTAACCCTTCATCTGAAGCGTCCAATCACAAACCAATTTCTGTTAATAGGGCATGTCAGTTCACAAAAAACTTCTGCGAAGGAAGGTCTTGTGTATTCTTGGTCATGGCACCTCCAGCACCAGCCTCGGTCCTCTCCTCAGAGCCGATAAAGAAACATCCCCCTCGGATGACCTGGAAGTCATTCTGATCGACCGAGGACATAGGAACAATCTTACAAGAGACATGAGACATACTGTGTGTTCACTGGGAACGTGCATCAGGCCAAGCACTGTCATTTGCCTTTGCAGACTTGTATGCAGTGTTTCAGGGTTAGAGCCCTGTAATGTGACTATAGCCTCAGAGCAGCAATTTTACTTTGAAAAATTTAATTCAGAAGCACATTCTAAACATCTGCTGTTTCTATGTGAATACCTGCTCTTTTCAGGAAACTCCTTCTCCTCGTTTTCTGCCAGCTGTTTCTTCCTCAGTGCTTTTTCACGCTCCTCCTTTTCCATGGCAGCCTTACGGAAGTGCTGGAAGCTCTCCTTTGAGGACTTGATTGCAGTTGAAGTGACTGACTGTCTCACCAGTCTTGCCCAAGACTCAGCATTTTTCAGAACAATGTCCTGAATGAGACAAGTCACCATGTTTATCTGTAACTCTTTAAAAGTGCTGGGTATTGATTAGGGGTGTTCATCAGAAACGTCATCACGATACAATCTTATGTTGATTCTCTTAGCCAGTGATCCGATGTTTGCCAACACTTAAAAATATGCCATGAAGCAATTTCGATTTGATTCATGGGCCTGTGATCAATAACATTGTGTCCATTCCATTTACATTATCAAAAGTATAATTTAAATATTTTACTATGCTCCTCTGTTCACTTTCCCATGCTATTTAAATACACAAAAAGGACCCACAATGACCTTCCAGTTCAACATAAACTTTGAGACAGGAAGTGTTTACATTGTCACACATACAAAAAAATATAAACAACAACAACAAAAACAGACATTTCCTACACTGCAGTAGGAGTTTTGGTTAAAACGTCACATTCATACTAGTGTTGTGCATGTTTTTTTTTTTTTCCCCATTCAAAATACTTCCATACTCACAACTTGTTTCTGGTAAATAGCTTCATCTGCATTTTGTTACTTGCCCATCTCACACAACAGATTGAGAACTCCAGTCTATCAAATGTGTCAGGCCACACCGACTCAGATACATGGTGTGTGAGACGTGCGTCACCCCTGGACCCTCTGCGTAAACAGCTATTTACACAAAAGCTTTAGTACGTGCTGCTTACGTCTCATTTTTGTATGAATTCCAGTCTCAGAAAATTAGCTGCACTGCCTGTTCTCCAGTTTGAAGAGAGCAACTCTTCATGGGAAATGCGTATAGACGTGGCTGGTTGATGGTCAAATCATAGGCACACCCAACATCAAATGGTTGCATTGCCGACATCAGATTACTAGGCATCTGACCAATCATTACACCCCAAGTTTTTGTGGCCCAAACATGCATCAACTTCAAACCTGTGTTAATCGATTTTAAGTTACTAGAAGGCAGAAAAACGCCACATGAGATTACTGATCATACTAGTGTCCTCTAGTGGATCGTTTCAAATAAAAAGGATATGGACTCAAACCAAAAACTGTCCCCAAAATGTACAAGTTCTATTCTCTCTCCATTTGTAGTAAAAAAAATATTGCACAAGGGTCATTTTGATTTTAGCAGAGATTGATTTTTAGTGTAATTAAAAGTCAGCCAGCTGGTCCCACAAAACTAGTTTAATATATAAAAAAAAAGTGTAGTTGATGTTTATAAAAAATTCTTAATGCAATCAAGCTTGTACTGCAGAATCATTCTTCAACAAGTGAGTAAAAACATCACCCTTCGTAAATGGACACTCAGTTCAACAATGCTGACCTTTTTGGAAATGTGGGGTCTTTCCTCTTCAGCAGATTTACTTGCTGTATTGGTGTGAGACACATTAGTCAACTGACTGTCAGGAAAATCCTCAGGGTATCTGAAATCTAGCACAATCAAAAAGTGTTCTGGCTAAAGTATTAGTATTTTTTAAAATGAAGATATCAAATTAAGAGTCTTGTAGTGACCTACTTGACCCAGTCTCGTCTCTGGTCTGCACTGGGCTGTCTCTCAGAGGGGACAGCACCGGGCCCTGCTGAAACATGAGCTTTATTTTTAACATTACAAGTAATGCAGCCATCATTTAAAATAATTAAGTCCAAACAAACAGCAGCACCATTAATGTGAGTATTGTAAACTACACAAAAAAAGATCCACAGCTATGGAAAACTGTGAGGACAACATAATATGCCAAGTGCCATGCTGATTTTGGTTCTCTTCCTTTGGAATTCTCATACACCCCTTGTATTTGTCATATATGTGAAATGTCTTTTTGTAGACACCCTATGATTAGGAGTCTATGTACATCACATTACAATTGCATCTGATTTCATGTTTCTGGAATTAAACAAATGATGTTACAATGAATACCAAGACGCATTGTCAACTTGTCACTGGACACTGAAAAAGTAGCAGCACTACAAAAGGCTTTGAGGGTATATGGTGGACTATAGTACAACAGTCCTTAGGCACCATTTTTGGTGTGGCTATGCTACTTGAGCAACCAGGTCAACGATAAACACCACCTTTAACTGAGACCATTTATAGTTTCATGTGCAGTATTTTGGCTGTCCTGGACTAAACTCATGATGGTGGTCTGCACCCGATCCAAACACCGACTATAAAAACTAAGGTAATGCAGTTTTATTTGCTCTGTCATGTGACACCCTGGCTGTATTCAGAAAGTTCTGTATAATGCAACTTGCGATTAGTAAAGTGTGACATCACATTTTCCTATTTCAATTTAATACCAAGTAAAATCCAGGCTGGTAGCAATGATACCAATACTTGGTGCAAAAAGGGAAAAAGAAGTGAGGAGAAGGAGATGGGTCCAGACAACACGCTGATTGAGAGGAGGAGATAAGGTGAAGGCTATGAGGGCTGGTTGCTTTAATTAACAAATGGTGCCACCATGGTCACATTACTGTGAAGGGATGTTTCTGTAGCTCAGATACTGAGCCGTTAGCCAGAAGACTGTGTCACAGTTCAGAGTGAATGGTCCATAACAGGAGTGGTCACAAGGTTTAAAAGGTTGTCTGAACAAATCAAAGCAGTGTGCATGTCAAATGTTGTACCTCAAATCTGGCAGCAGCCCAGTCAATCAGAATTCCTGGAGACACCATGGGGGATAGAAGGGCGGACAAATCTGTAGAGCAGTAAATGACACGTATTGATCTTGACCACAGTTGAGAAGTAAGCAGCTATTGCATATTTGTACAGTCATAAAGCAAATCGCTTGTGTACACAGTGTTGGGGAGTAACAAGTGACTAACAATTAAATACATGCAATTGGAATCACTGAGAAAAAAAAAGTCATTAATTAGTTAATCAAGATGCTGGTAATTACATCTGAATATATTCTTTTGGGTAAAAAGCTTAGAATACAACATTCCTTCTGTTGCTTTGCAGGAATTCCTTCTTTTGGTAAACTTCCAGAGACCGCAGGTCAGCAAAGCTGCTGGGTTAGTTAAATTGCAACACCATCTGACTGTGTGTGTGTGTGTGTGTGTGTGTGTGTGTGTGTGTGTGTGTGTGTGTGTGTATATATATTCTACCCATGATGCAACACCATCATGGGTAGAATGACTTAACAAGGACCCGTCTCCACCTCAAGATGGGCTCCATTCATTTGGCAGTACACACCCTAATTTTGAGTAATGCTTTTGACAGTTCTCTTCATCTGCAAATCAAATCAATCCGCATTGCTCTAAGCGAGTCTGGCTGCGACCTGCCGACAGCACCAAGGTAGGCTGCCGTGCTGTCAGACAAGAACGCCTCAAAAATGACCGTCCCAACACCGAAAGCAGCTGCAGGAAGAATGAGTTTTAGCATAACACAAGGAGCGTCAGACTCAAAAGCAAAAACATATAGGAGCTAACCGACTTGTCCCTGTTCAGCCTGTTAGAAGCGAGACCAAGTGAACCAATTTTCACTTCCTGAGGGACTGAGCAGCCTGAGGTGAACAGGTTTAGCCAACGTTACCGTACCACTGTATTTATGATGTAGAACCACTGGCAGTGGGGGAGGAATTAGGAATGTCAATGAGAGATTTCTATTAAAGACACGGACAAAGCTGATGTGAGTACAGTGTTTGTACGAAGCATTGTTGCTGGTTTGGCTCTAGGTCTCAGAGGCTGATGAAAGACTGCTACAAAAGGCTACAAAGGAAATAATGCAGAATAAAAAATAAAAAAAAATTAAAAAAAAAAAAAAAGCAAGTGAGTGTCCTTTTTAACCAAGCAAGGATTTTCACATTACCAGCATAAAGAAAAACATGTTCATTTGAACTAAAGAGGTGACCCGGTTGCTCCATGCCCAAGGCTTACTGACTCACATTTTTAATGAAAACAGCAATTTTAAAACTGAACCATCATGTAAATGACCACAATTGAAATTAATGCATTAAAAAAAAAAATTCTCTTAGTTGAGGGACAAAGTACTAACACAAGCATTACCTGGAGGTGACAAAATTGGCTCATCACAGGTGTGGTCTCCAGCACAGTGCACCGCGTGGCTATTAATGTCTGCTACAGAGGACTGGGCAGCAGGAGGCTGGAAAGTCTTCAATGCAGCTTTTCTCAAATCTTTGGTCTCCAATACCTTTCTGCATGCAGGATGACTCAGCTTTGGCTTAAGAAGAAAACACATTCTTACTTTTCATTGTAGCCAGCATGGCTAACACAGAATTACCCATTTGACTGTATTTACCTTTGTTTTAACCTTTCGGCAGGAGTCTTTACTTTTTGGCTTCTTTGTTTTCAGCACTGAAAAACACGCACATTAATAATTTACTGCCTACAAAGTCACACTGCTGGTACCAAAAAGAAAACATTTCACAATGTCCAACTACTTAATATGCAAATAAAATTTACAGTACCTCATCTTAAAAATGACGCTTTTGTTCAAAAAAGCCAATTTAACAGTTCCACAGTCTCCATTTATGCATTTACAAATTTATGTCAACCTGTTAATCATTTTCAATACACCACCACTCCCCTGCTGCACACATTCAAAATTAGGATCTCTATTTAATTATATGAATATCATAGGTTACACAAAACACTGCATTACTTTCCTCCATGCTGGAACAGCAGTTTATAACGCGACAAATAGGTGTCTCATCCTGAATTGTGTCTACAGGTCACAGCACCGGAGTAGTGTGCTTTTTCAATAGTTTACTAGCATGAAAATGTAAAAAAAAATAAAAAAAATCTAAAACAATTGCCAATGTTTACAGGTCTGGCTGACTTTCTATGCAAGGTCTGTATTTAAAATGGCACAAAACAGTTAAACAGACTGACAATAAGGACGGTGGTGCAGCTTGAACATCAGCTTTTATCTAATTTTAAGAAGTGTCACAGGAGGGTACTGTGCTATCCAAGTGTACCTAATGCTAGAGAATGCTCAAGTACAACTTAAAAGCTTGTTTTTGCCCTCAGTGGTTTCACATTTGACCTTGCTGTAGTGTATATGTGGGCTGCATAATGCATTAGTGTTCCCAGTCTGAGACATCACTGTCGGGTGTAGCGGAGCAGACCTTTGACCCAACAGTGATGCGGATGCCAGAAGTGCAACAAACTTGAAACTTTGAACAAGTGAGGGCAGTAAAACTGCCTTAATAGCAGCCTGCTATTAATTTAGTTTTTCATTTGTGCCTTATCGAATGTCAACATTATGGTTCCAGTAAGAGCACAAATTAACATCTACTGAAAGAGAAACAATAAAACAAATCCGCTCTGTCAAATATTTAACTACAACAAACACCCAGGTGACCTTGCTCATCTCTTATTTTTAAAAGGAGAGGAAGAAAAAAAAAAAGTAGGTGATGAGGGCAGAGTGCTGAAGAAAGCAGCAAACCTGATTCAGAGTCACTGTTATCAGAAGTGCTAGAATGACAACTACTGCTGCTGCCGCTGGGAGAGCTGGATGACAAGCTGCTGAATGCCGGGCAGCTGAGATCAGGAGATGCTGTGGCTTTAGCTGGGAAAACAAACAGCAAACTAATTTTCACACTCAGTGCCTCCCTTAGGAAAGCACAACTGCGATGATTTTACAATAGTTAATAAAACTCAAGTCTTACCTATGAGCCTTTTTTTCTTAATGAAGTGCTGCTCTTTACCGGCAACCTCACATGTCCCTGTTCCTTTCCCAGTCTGGTTTCCTCCTGTGGGCTTCACCAGCTTTTTTTCTGCAGGGCACAACAGATAAACTTCCATTCACATATTGAAAAGGTAAATTACAAAAGCCTTAACCTTACAAAGGAATCTTAAAATAAAATAAATCTGCAATTGCTGACTGAAGAAAGTTTAGCTAAACAAAACTGAGCTTTACTTACTGGCATTCTTGTTGCATTTCCTCAGACAGGCTGCAACAAACCTCTGCAGGGCTCTCAGTGTGGAAGGCTTGAGCATTGCAAAGTCGACCTCAATGTCCTCTAGAGTGGAATCTCGCAGGCAATGCTCTCTGGCATGAATGATTTTCACCAGCTTGCCCAGTTTGTCACCGGGAAGCTTATCAATGTCCTGTTTTAACTGCATTTTCTCCTGGTAAGTCATTGGTAGCGATAGGGCCTCATCCTCATGTTTTAGGGGTACTCTGTGTCTGCTGCCAAGCCTACACATACAAACAGCTGATATCATCCTTAGCATGTGCTGTAGCATGCACAGTTCCCCATAACTTAGAATAAAGTAGAAAATACAAGTCACATTAAATGATCACTTACATAGAAAAGCACTTGTTAGTGGCAATTTTTTCAACAACAGATTTGCATTTTGAGTATGTGGACATTAGTCGAGCTGTGTCCTTTTCTTTAGACCGTTTTTCCTTTTTCAACTTGTCTTTTTTCTTTGGTTTCATCGGGGGCTCTTGGGTGAGCTTCTTCAGCTGATCACTGACCACTTTCAACTGAAAAGTCAGCCATTGATGAGACAATTAGGTAAAGTGCACTGAAAAACTCCTCAAGAGCCATGTGCACCATGTAGAATACCAACCCGTTCCTCCAGATTGGCCAGCTGCAGGGCCACCTCTTCTGAGGAACTTTCTGTGTCCAAGGAGCTTTCACTTTCAGAACTTGCTGAGGTTGACAGACTTCCAACTCGGTCTACATTTCCCTTGACAACTCGTTGAGGAGGTACGGGACAACCCTCTGGTTCTTGGGGAACCTTCAGATAACGGGCCTCAAAAACATCCTGTTGACAAATAAGAACGATAATATTAATACCAATTCTTTTTAACTGAAGGATACATTTGTCAGTCTACATAAGTGGCACAGGGGGTTGTCAATGTAGTTTCTAATTTACCAGTGTTGATTATATAATGTAAAGCCCAATCGATTCCTGATCCTTTGTGCTTAAGCTATGCCCCACAGCACTCTGCAAAAAAAGGAAAGGCTGGAACCAAACAACCAGCTAACGTTTCCATAAAGTCACTCTGCAACAGTCAATGTGTGATTGAGATCATCATCAGATGAAAAAAAAAAAACCAATATGGTTGATCTCTCTCTGAGATAGATTGGTTTATAGTTAACTCTTGTTAGCCTCCTCTCCTCCTGCCCCGTCTCAGTCTTCCTATACCCGTTATACACCAACAAATTAGCTACATCTATGACTTTACATCTCATTTCTGTAAGAATATGCCATGCATGTATGGTTGACCAGGGATAATGGTTTCACTTGACTTGACATTTTATTCCACATGTTTTCCTACTATACAATTATGTTAGATATATTCTACAGTTCTCTTATGGAGAGAAAAATGCAATCATCTTCTATATGCAAGGACCTCTCGATATGGCAGTTTGGGATTACTCATTAACCGTGATTGATTCTCACTGTCAGCTGCCTGATCTCCAGTTATGCTGATGATTATCACCTGATGGAAGTGTTCACTATTTGCCAGTGAGGTCTCATATGCTACACAAGGCCTGATGATCATAGGGATGCTTTTCTAATACATTTCCTGGGGGCTTGCAGTGTGGCACGAGGATCCTTTTCTTTTGATTCAAGTTTTTTTTTAATCCAGCACCAAAAGATTTGTTATGGATGTGCATGCCCTAATGTATTTTGGGTTTATCAAACAAAAAAAGCCCAGGATGGTTAACAATGGAAGTTAATCCTTGCAGTCATACATATCTGCCAGAAATCAGTGGAGCACAAATTCCTTTACTGTACAATATGGCAACTGGCCGTTATCTGTTAGATATGTGCAATCCATTTTGGTGAGCTACAGTGAACATAACTCCACCTGATGTGAACAACAAATGAATAAACAAACCTATACCTGGAGTTTTCTTGCCATATAGACCACCTCGTGCGAAGGTGGATTGTATTTGTAACAGTTGGAGAACATCAGTCGGACATCAGCAGCAAATTCTTTTGCGTTGGCATACTCTTGCTGATCCATTTTCTTCTGCGAAAACAAAACTGCATCAGCAAAACTGATATCGGACTTCTTTGGAAAATAATGTTATATACACTTTATCATCATAATTATTTTACCTTGATGGTACTCAGGTCCATTGGCTGCTTGATGATGTCATGGTAGTCATGTAATCCCAAAGTAACCACATCAACTGGGGTATAAAAGGGCCACGCATATGCATAGTGCCTCTTTGAGAGCATCTCCTTAAGGATGTCACTGCAATACCTGAGCGGCTCAGACAGTCCGACCTTCTGGCCCTCAAGGACAGGAAAGTCTTTCTTAGGAGGTCTGATGGGCCTTCCACTGCCTCTCCTGGATGATAATGTAGAAGGTGCTGAATGCTGGTCAGTAGGGGAGGCCTCACTGCTGGTAAGCAGTGACGTGGTGTCTGCTTTCCTCTTAAAACCCTTTTTAATCTGAATATTTAGAAAGAGGTTTCACACAAATAGCAAATCACTATGCCAGCTAAAAGTAGATAAAGCACTGGGATAAAGAATGTTTTTTGTTTTACATTCTGATCCTTGAAAGTTGGGTTCAAGTCATGAATTTGCAGTGTGGCTTAAAATGTGAACTTGGCCAAAACATTAATAATTCATGTCTGAGATAAACGACCCTCTTCACTAACTTCATGCAATGGGAATTGATGCACATCAGGAGGAATGACCATCACTGTCTGCTGGAGAAAAACTTCTGACTCATGAGATCTCTGCTTTAATGCACCTGCATGACAGGAAGTAAAGTGAATAAATGCATGAGAACTGGGTACAATTTTTAGCAGTAAAAGATTCCAATGAATCAAAAAAAAAAATTACTGCAAACATTCTTGCCAACACCGTGATGGTGGTGGATGTTTCAGGTATTTATTTCTTATATTACAGTATGAATGATTAAATCCAATTATACAGGGGGTGCTGTTGTGCAAAGTACCTCTGCTTGTCTTTCTCCCTTTCATTGGTTCATTTGTAATGACTGCTGTAATTTCATACTCTTTCTCAGGCATTTTAGACACTTTCTGCAAAAACAGCTTCTCCAGGGTCTGCGCCATAAAAATGATGTCATCACCAGGCTGTGGAAAGAAAATCCAAACATCATAATGAAATCAAAGCACTTGACATGTCCTTATGACAATCCCCTTCTTACTGCAGAAACATTTTCAGCACTGATAATACAATTCACCCATTCCAAGTGTCTGAATGTAAACTACTGTTTGCATTATTGTCATACAAATGCAATAGGCAATAGTGAACATTGTTTACAGACCTACTTCCACATTAGAAAACTTGCTAACGGAACTTCCCTATGTATTGGTATGTTATACAGCCACCTAAATAGCATTCCCTTACCTGATTGTACTTATAACAGTTGGTGAACATGGTGTTGAAGTCTTGTATACAATCAAGTGCCTGATAGTAGTATCTGTTCTGAAGACGCCTCTTAATAGTGCCCAGATCCATAGGCTCTGTAATTATTGTATAATAATCCTGAAAGACAGAGACAATGGTATAAATACACCAAAGTCTTTCCTTCCTATTTTGCAGCCTACCTGAACTTATCAATCATGACAAAGAGAGAATAGAAAACTCATGATTAAAAACATCAACGACACACAGTCAGGCTGTCAAGGTCCAACTGTACAACTTACTGGGATACGCAGTGTTACTGCATCAACAGGCTGGTGAAAGGGCCAAGACATGTGATGCCTCCATAAAGCTTTGACCACCACCTTTTCCAGATACTGTAGCTGATTCGTCACACGTCCAGGCCTCTTGTGATTTATCACCTCCGGCGGAGGGGGATTTCCAGTGACAGTGGGACAGGCTTTCACATCAGACATTGTGTTGTCTAAAGGTCAAGAGGGAGGAAGCCGTCTCAAGTACGCTTTGCAGCAACTTGGTGCTCATCACACGCTTTTCTAAACAAGGAGTGAAGAGTAGTTTCCAGTGCTTCAGTAAAAATGTACATTTGAGAATGACATTCTTTTAATACTACATTAATACTGAAACTTATACTGCCTCTATGCCCCGGCATCCAACCCATACAACCATATGACCAACGTGTTTTGTAAGAACATTCATATTTCTGTGACAAAATTTAACGTTAAACACACAAGTACTTTACATTAAATAAGTCGTGATATTCAGTATTTTAATACCACCAAACCTTATGAAAAGATCTAAACAAATATGTGTTGATAAGTAACTGAAAATAGTCCAACATGTGCACCATTTCTCCTGTTTGATTGAAGTTTTCCAAAAACTACAGTTCCAGTCTGTTTCAGAAAATTACTTATTACAATTTGAAAATAAAAATGATGCATTTGCAACCTGCTTCTTTTACAGATTTTCAGAGGGTTAGGGATTAGTACTACAGACAGGGCAGAAGTCAAAATACTGTCCCACTCTTTTCATGGGATTCAGTGACAGGAAGAATACATAATAACACCTGCTTTATCATTTTAAAACATGGCTTTATTATGGTTCCATTTTGCTGAGCTATAATACTGAAGTACAGTTTGAGTGATGCTGTAGGTGCCAGTATTGCAGGAAACATGCCTCTCTCTCCATTGGCTTTGTGCCTGGTAGTTTTTAACTTCTCAGCAGATACTTTTGTGATTTTTAGTACAGGAGAGCAGGTCAGCCGCATGCAGGCTTGCCGATCTTCAGTCTTGGTTAATGGTTAGCTGAACCAGGATCAGACTATGCTGTATATCAGGAGAGATGCTCTTGAGGTTGTAACTAATCCTAAACTGCTAAATGACTTTAGTTCAGTACAGTCAGCCTAGCTTAATATATAGATGGTATAGGATAGTAGCCTGGTTTTATTTACAGACCTAAAAACTATGTATTAACAAAACACTAACCATCTGTAAAAGTGAGAAAAGTAACAGGGGCTATATCTTGCCCTACTACGCTACAGTCAGTCAATTTACAGTGCACGTTGTTTCTTATTTGCATTTTATTGTTTTAGATGGCAAATGAACAAAAACATTTCATACTTTAATAAATCCAGTGAAACCTCTCTTATTTTTTATGAGTGGTTGTGCAAATATCCTATAATCCAGCAATTACATGATGAGCTCCTTATGATGCAACAATGAACTGGTGATGAGGCAGATGTTCAGTTGAAAGAATGGGGCTCATGTACTATTTGATGCACAATGATTTTAAACACAAAGTATTACTCTAAAAATAAATAAAATTGCAAACAACAACAACAAAAACATCCATTTACTAGTCCCAGTTTGTTACACATAAGCATTTCATGTTGTCACTGTTAACATCTGGGTTTACTGACTAGTGGTAAGGCAAAAAGCCGGATAGCATTTTAGGCAGCAACACCTGCAAGAGGCATATGTTAAATGATAAATCAGTAGGAGTGTGCCCATACACTCAGTATCATATCATCACGATATGATACTGGAATGAACGATGATGGGGCGGGGTGGGGGGGGGGGGGGGGTCTGTGTTATTATGTATAGCAGAGTATTTTTATAAGCAAATATAAATATTAAAATGCCTCTGGAGAGGATCTTTAGGCTTTTTCACTGGTTTGTCTAGTGTTGAACAGCGCAGCAATGGCTGTATGCTGCACCATTGACGGTGTCCGGAGAACACGTCAAACCACGCCTACCGGTTAGCATATAGCATTAGCTAACTACCGCGAGAGAGAGCGTGTCAAAATTCATTGTACTATATAATTTACGGCATAGTAATTTGGTCTACGCAGTAACGTTAAAATAAGATAGCATTAGCTTTTATAAGTAGGTAACAGTTTGAAAAAATGTCAACGTTCCCAAACAATTTCAACTGGCAGATCCTAAAGGTAACTACTTGCTAGCTACCGAGCAACCAAAACTCGACTTCTTACAAGTTATTTTCACCTCTTCAAAGTGCAGTTTGGTTTTAACTACCGAACTAAGCCTATACCTCTTTTGTCAGGTACATTTTTTTTAAACCAAGCATACAACCTAGTACAGCTAACGCTAAACTTGGGCTAGCTTGGCGTTAGTAGTTTAAATGTGGTTGACCCTATGGGCTCCTTGCCAACTACGTTTCCAATCACAGACATCTCTTATTAGCTACAGAGCTGAGACTGCGCCAGCTACATTCACAATTTTATATAAGGCAAACATGACATTCGGAAATCGTGGTAGCATTACCTTCCGAGATATCACGGGTTCTTGTGCTCAACTCTCCACGGGCAGACGTCTCTAAGGCAACCGCCTCAGATTTATAGCCCTCAGCTCAAGTGGAGCTGATTGGTCAGAACATTAGCTACACGTGCTACAGTTTGCTGTCTGCAGAGAAAGGCGCTCGAAACAGTTACTGCCATGCAAAGAATACAACCCGCTCTTTCC